CCATCCCTCCCAATTTTAAACTGCCACACAGTAGGTGTGGGACCCGCCTGTTCTGTGACTCCCCCCCTCCTACCAGTCTCAGTGTGTCTTCTTTAAATCCTTATTTGTTGGACTTCCATTCAGCTAGACTTCAGGTGGCTCAGAATGATGGTTGTTCTGTAGTTCAGTTGTAATTTTGATGTGGTTGTGGGAGGATTTGAGTACTGCATTTACGTATACTGTACTGTCATCTTGACTGGAAGTTCTTGCCTCATACTTTTTAAAAATTTAATTTGTTAAAATTAGGATCCAAATAAGATTCATATATTACAGTTGGTTGAAATGTATTTTAAGTTTCTGTTGATATATAGGTTCCCCATCCATCATTTTCCCAGTTATTTGTTAAAAATAAACTGGGTTGTCTTGTAAGTTTCCTATAGTCTAAATTTTTATTATTGTATCCCCATGCTTTCAACTAATGTGTTGGACTCTCTCTCTTGAAACTCCTGCAAATTAGCTTGAACAGATTCACTTCAATATTTTGGCAAGATTGCTTCATAGGGTTGATTCTTTCCCTTAATTTACCAATTTTCAAAATGATGAACTGATTTCTTAGCATTCTACAAAGTTGACAAATGAGTTTTGGGGAGGATAAGGGGGTACATATCATTAAGAACTCATGAATTTGAATATATTTGATATGTTTCAATCCATTATAGTTTTTATTCTTATTAAATTTCAAGCATTTCCCAATTTTGGCCAGCAAGTATCTCTTCATGTTAGCTCTTGAGTCTTTTTGGTATAATTATAGTCTTCCTTTTTTTCCTGGCATGCAAAGATCTTTTAGGCTCATCATGAACCTTTTTTTGTCCCAGATACGAAATTAGACCTTTTTTTTCTGAAGAGTTGTAGCTTTTGTTGATGGGTGGGGGAAATAATGGTTTTTAAATATCATAATCTAAGTAATACTCATATCCTTTGCTAATGGGTTGATCATTATTTCTAGGCCTTCTAAGAAGATAAGGTAAAGAGTAACTTTGTTATTGTTTCGAAGAGAAAAATGAATGTGTGTGTGTGTTTGAGCTCCTTCTTCCCTCAGTAGATATGTGGTTGCACACTCTATATACTTTTCTCTGCATTTCCTTTTTTTAAATTCACATAACAGTATATCCTGGAGATCACTCTATAGCAGTATGTAGAAATTCTCCTCATTCCTTTTTACAGCTACTTACTGTTTCATTGTGTAGATGTACCATAGTTTAACATGTCACATCCCCAGTTGATGGATATTTGGGGTTGTTGTGTGTTTGCTATTATCATTAATGCTTCAGTAAATAGCCTCATGTATACTTCTGTTTGAACTTTTGCTATTATATATTTGTGATAGACTTCTGGAAATGTGATTTCAGGTTCAAAAGATAAATGCAGAGTTTATTTAGATATTACCAAATTCCCCTTTATAGGCTTGTCCTATTTGTATGCCTAACAACTGTGTATGAGAGTGCTAGTTTCCCTACTACCTCACTAGTTATTGTCAGACTTTTGTGTTTTTAGATGACAGATACTGTCTTGTAATTTTAATTTGCATTTCTCTTATAACTGAAGTTAATCATCTTTTCATAGGCTTGAGGTCGTTTGCCTTTTTCCTTTGCTAACTGGCTGAAACTGTCTGTATATTAGGGATATATTTTTTCTATAACATACCTTGTAAATAATTCTTTCACAGTGTATCATTGGTCTTTTACTTTGCTTATAGCTTTATTTTCAGTGTAAAAATCTTTTTAATTTACATAATCAAATGTTTCAGTATTTTTATTACCTTCTGGATTTTAAGTCATGGAGATTTTCTTTTTTTCCTAGTCTCAGGATATAGAATAGCTCACCCATGTTTTCTTCTAGTTCATGAGTGGGTTCATTTTTTTTCCTCCAAGAGATTTCTGATTCATTTGGAATTTATTCTGGTGTAGAGAAACGGACTCAATTTTATCTTTTTCCATGTTTATTTAGTTATCTCCATACCATATACTAGAAAGTTTCTTCCATACTAATTTAAGATGCTACTTTTACTGTGTACTACATCTTTTTTTTAAAATCTTTATTGTTGAATGTATTATAGATGTTCCTCATTTTTCCCCCATTGACCCCCTCCTCCCCACTTCCGCCTCCCTCCCGCCTTTCCCCACACTATTGTCTGTGTCCATTGGTTATGCATATAAGTTCTTTGGTTTATCTCTTCCCACCCCTAACCCCTTTCCCTTTGAAGTTTGTCAGTCTAGCAATGAATTTGTGCTTCCTAATCCCTTCACCTTTTTCACCCATTCCCCCAACCCCCTTCCCATCTGGCAACCAACAAAATATTCTCTCTATCTATGAGAATGTTTCTGTTCTGCCTGTTCATTTTGTTTGTAGATTCCATTGTCGATAGATATGTATTCATTGCCATTTTGTTTGTTCATATATTTTATCTTTTTCTTCAAAAAGACCCTTCATCATTTCATACAATAACGGTTTGGTGGTGATGAACTCCTTTAACTTTTTCTTGTCTGGGAAAGTTTTTATATGTCCATCGATTCTAAATGACAGCTTTGGTTGTAGGTTCTTGCTTTTCATCACTCTGAATATTTCTTGCCACTACCTTCTGGCTGCAAAGTTTCTTTTGAGAAATCAGCTGACAGCCTTATGGGAACTCCCTTGTAGGTAACTAGCTGCCTTTCCCTTGCTGCTTTTAAGATTCTCTCTTTGTCTTGAACCTTTTGCATTTTGATGATGATGTGTCTTGGTGTGGGTCTCTTGGGGTTCATCTTGTTTGGGACTTTCTGTGCTTCCTGGACTTGTATGTCTGTTTCCTTCACCAAGTTAGGAAAGTTTTCTGCCATTATTGTTTCAAACAGGTTTTCCATTTTTTGTTCTCGCTCTTCTCCTTCTGGCACCCCCAAGATGCAAATGTTGGCACGCTTGAAGTTGTCTCAGAGGCTCCTTACACTGTCCTCATTTTTTTGGATTATTTTTTCTTTTTGCTGTTCTGATTGGGCATTTTTTGCTTCCTTATATTCCAAATCGATGGTTTGTTTCTTGGATTTACGTACTCTACTATTGAATCTGTGTAAATTATTCTTTATTTCAGTTAATGCCTCCTTCATTTCTGACTGTGCAACCATCATTTCTGACTGGTCCTTTTTTATGCTCTTGAGGCCCTCACTGAGGTTCTCACTAAGTTCATTGAGCATCCTTATAAGCAGTATTTTGAACTCAGCATCTGTTAGGTTGCTTATCGCCATTTCGCTTAGTTCCCCTCCTGAGGTTTTGTTCTGTTCTTTCATTTGGGACCTGTTTCTTTGTCTCCTCATTTTGGCTGCCTCCCTGTGTTTGTTTCTGTGTATTACTTAACGAGCAGTATGGGGCTATCTGAGACCATACTGTTTGAAAGAATTTAGGAACACCTGAAGCAGGATCCAAGACAGGCCAATCCTATGGTTAAGCAACTGGCAACAGCTTGGGTGGACCTGAAAGTTGGGTGGAGCGGGGCCTCAGGGAATCACCAGGGTGGGGTTACCAGAGTGAGTCAGGTTGCTGGAGTCCCAGATATGGCTTCTGTCTGCCGCCCCAGGGAAGGGCTCACCAAAGGAACAAAGGCCTCTGACAGCACGTTTCCAGCCCTCGTCCCAGTGCCAAACAGCTCAGTTCTTCCCTGTGTGTCTCTGGTGCCTCTCGAGATGCCTCCCCTCCAAGCTTAGAGGGAGAGAGTCCGATAAGTCCATGCGCGGGCACTTTAAGGAGCTGCCTGGGGCTCCAGCGCGTCAGCTTCCCTGGGCCTCAGTTCCCGCTGGTTTTTCCAGCCAGAAGTTATGGGGATTCTCTTCCTGGCACTGGAACCCTGAGCGGGGCACCTGGTGTGGGACGGGGACCCTTCAGTCCTCAGGGAGGACCTTCCCAGCCGAAGTATCCTGATTTTTATCTGCTGCACGTGGGTGTGGGACCAGCCCCTCGCGCCTCTGCCCCTCCTACCAGTCTGGATGTGGCTGCTGCTTTAATTCCGTAGTTGTAGGACTTCAGTCAGTTTTGCATGATGGTTATTCTGTAGTTTAGTTGTAACTTTGATGTGGTTGTGGGAGGACGCGATACTGCAGTTACCTACGCCGCCATCTTGACCGGAAGTCTCCTGTGTACTACATCTTCACGTCCACTTTTATCTTTTTCTTATTGGTTTATGAATCATTAAACAGTTTTAATTAGGGAGACTTTATGCTTTTTAAATTATACATATTTTTAATATTTAAGAACATGTAGATGTAAAATTATGTGTTTAATTTTAAAAGATGTTTGGTTACCCTGACACTAAAATATTCTAGGAAGTTATGGTTAAAAGTCACCATGTTATCATAAGAACTTCATAATATAGTTCTATAAAGAATAGGGGGGTTATTGGAATTATTCTGGGTAGGACAGGCCAGGATGAAATGTTAGAATTTTGTTTGTTTGTTTTTTTTATCCTCACCCGAGGATATTTTTCCATTTTTTGTACAGATAGAATGGGAGGGAGAGAGAGGAAGGGAGAGAGAGTGAGAAACATCTACGTGAAGGGACACATCGAGTGGCTGCCACCCGCACGACCAACCAGGGCCGGGGACAAACTGCAACCGAAGTACGTGCCCTTAGCGGGAACCGAACTCGGGTCTCTCTGGACCGCAGGCCGACGCTCGAACCGCTGAGCCAAACTGGCCAGGGCAGAAATGTTAGAATTTTGGAGGGAAGGGTAAAAAATATTTGTGAGATCTTGAAAAATAATTTCTTACATGACTTGTGATATATAAGCTTTGTCTAAAGATTATAAATAGTGTACAGTCGGCCCTCATTTATCGCGGTTAAGCAGGTCCAGACTCTACCGCGATAAATGAAAAACTGCGGTAGAGTGAAGCTTCGAAAGTTGAAAGTCGAAGTGCGAAGTGGCAAGGGATGACTGTGTCATGCCTTTGTTTACATAAGGTTTCAGTAAACTATTCCTTTTTTGTTTTTTCTTTTAGCACCATGTATGTATTTGGTGGTTTCAATAGTCTCCTCCTCAGTGACATCCTGGTATTTACCTCGGAACAATGTGAAGCACACCGGAGTGAAGCTGCTTGTGTAGCAGCAGGACCTGGCATCCAGTGTGTGTGGGACACAGAGTCATCTCAGTGTATCTCCTGGGAGTTGACAACAGAAACACAACAAGAAAAATTAAAATCAGAATGTTTTTCCAAAAGAAGTATGTTTTTTTCTCTTCTTAAAATTTAGTTAATTTAAGTCTCATTTTATCTGAATCATTAAGGCACTTAGCATATGTACACTTTTTAGGTTCATGTTATTATCCAAAAATACTCAGTAATAACTTATGCAAAGGCTTTATGGAAAATTGGTTTGTAAGAACCTTTACAATGGGTGGGAACATGCCATGTGGTTTCTGTAAGCTTTCTGTGAATCAGGGAGACAGAAACCTCCTTCGCATTGCATAGACGTTGTATACTAACTCCAGAACCTGGCTGCCACTGGTTTGAGGAGGTGCAATCCAATGATTTTTTATGTATGTTAATAAAAATGTTCTGTAGCTGCACTGTCCTAGTATGGTAACTACTAGCCACACATGGCTATAAGGCACTCTGAAATGAGACTGGTGTGACCGAAGAACTGAAATTTTTATTTTAATTAAATTAAAAATACATGTGGCTAGTGGCTACAATATTGCATTATGCTGTTATAATGTTAAGGATGAGATGAAGAGGGCCAACACAAAAAAGCTGTGTTGGAGTTGATCTTGTGGATAGAAGTAAAGTTGCTATCTTTGCAAAGTACTATTCTTTTCTACCTTCTCTAGTTGGGCACAGCATGATAGCAAGACAGACAGTTGCTGATGATAAGAAGTGATCTCTGTTTCTAGAATTACCTGTTATATTTTCCAAGCCTTCTTCATCTTGCCTACTTAGCTTATTACCCTTTTGCTTTGACATTTAGCACAATGCAAAGGAATATTGAGAAAGTCCATTAAGAGTAAGAAAAATAGCCCTGGCTGGTTTGGCTCAGTGGTAGAGCATCGGCCTGAGGACCAAAGAGTTGCAGGTTCGATTCTTGTCAAGGGCATGTACCTCAGTTGTGGTTCATCCCCAGCCCCAGTTGGGGTTGTGTGGGTGTCTCTCTCACATCAATGTTTCTCTCTCTTCCTCCCTCCCTCCCTCCTGCTCTATCTGAAGATAACAGCAAAAATGTCCTCAGGTGAGGATTTAAAAAAAAAAAAGTATGTTGACTGAATTTCTTAAGTATTAGGGTTGGTATAACAGTTACCATGAGAGTTATGGTGGGTAGAGGATGCTTTCACTCTTAAGCTGGACATAAGTCTTCAGTAAAAATACCCAGGCACCTTCCAGGTTCACTGATGGGCTGGTGAGTGCTAGAGAACTGAGATGACCAGAACCTGGTAGGGTTAGTCCCTGTCTCCTAAAAGGAATAAAATCATGACATAGTTATTTTTAACCCAAATTTAAAAGTTATAATTAGTCCGGCCAGTGTGGCTCAGTGGTTGAGCATTGACCCATGCATCAAGAGGTCGCTGGTTCGATTCCCGGCCAGGACACATGCACGGATTTTGGGCCCGACCCCCCAGTGGGGGCCATGTGGGAGGTGGCCAATCAGTGTTCTCTCTCATCGATATTTCTGTCTCTCTCTCCCTTTCACTTCCTCTCTCTTTAAAAATCAATAAAGGGGGAAAAATAAGTTCTAATTAAATGTCAAATTTTATAGGAAATAATATTTATTTACCTTAGGTGTTTCAGTGTGACCCCATTTTATGTTAACTCATCTCAGATGTCACCTCTTTGGTTCACTCTTCTTTCTGTTTGGGCTCAGTCCTTGGGGTGATGACCAGGGCAGGGGAAAAAAACCTAAGGAGCAGGATGCTGAAGTCTTTGTGAGGTAGGCCCTGCCCTTTCTTATTCGTGGATTCTACCATGTGCTGTGTCCATGAGTGATCCAACAGATGAGCAATACAGTTATGCAGCATCTCCTTTGTTGTTGACCTTGACCTCTCTAGGGTCAATAGGAGATGCAGCAGGTAGGTCTATAGTAGCCCAGAAGTTCTCAAACTTACACTCTTAGATTTATATATCTGTCTACAAAATGCAGCTTAGCCTAGTGCCTCCTTTGGGGTTCTGTGGTGCTGCCTACTTCCTGTGCCCAATTAGGCTTGTGTTTACAGCTAGGAGGAATGGCTTGATATCCTACCTTTGTTTGGCTCCAGGGAAGCTCTTGGTGTTCATACTATTGTTAGTTGATTTTTTTCTTGGGGAGAAAAATATTTAAAGAACCAAAGCTACTTCCATTTTATCTTGCTGTTGTAGAATTAAATTAGCCTCTCCTTGTTTTTCCTTTCTGTGTACTTTTGTTGGGGGAGTGAGTACAAAATAGTGGGTTTTTTTTCCAGATTGTTTACTTATTTCTGAATCTGTTTTAACCTAAAGTCACTAGTATATTTTCCTGCCAGTTACACTCCTTATTTTACTTCCCAACACTTGTTACATTTCTTTTTTTTTTTTTTACCTCAGTCTCAGATTGTGCTCAACAGCAGCTGTAATGGCCTGTGACTTTTCTGAGGAGAAGCTGTCACAGTTGATGAGTTTTTCTTCTCTTCATAGCTCTTGACCATGACAGATGTGACCAACACACGGATTGTTACAGCTGCACGGCCAACACCAATGACTGCCACTGGTGCAACGACTATTGTGTCCCTAGGAACCACAGCTGCACGGAAAGCCAGGTCAGGGGCTGTTTCTCAAGGATTTCAGAGGATGGAAAAATCCGGAGTGGGATTATATGTAGATTATAGTGTATATGGTATAAATACTGGTCCAGAGTTATTTTTTAAACCTTCAGTGTAGACTTGGATTTTATTGTTGCTCAGGTTTTTTTTTAGGAAGGGATGCTCTGTACATTCTAAGTTCAAAGGTCCTTGTTACAGGATTGACATGTGTTTTAGAAGTAAGGAAGGACTGGTGTTTTGAGTACTCCTCAGTCCCTAGTATGGCTGTGGCTAAGTACTAGAGCCTTGGTGTGAGACTTGGTGAGCTCTACCTGTACAGGGTTTTGGAAACAAGTTAAGACTTGAGACTAAAAGTGAGTCAGGTGTGTAGTAGCCACACTGAATTGTGGAAGTAATAGACTTTGTAAAATTGCCTTGCTTTGTGTTATATCTTGGCTTAGCATAATTAATGCTTACCATTTATAATTTTTTATTTAGGTTATAAGGCAACAAAAACGATGACTCAGCTTTTATGGTTTTTTGACGGTTTATAAGACATTCTTAGTCTGTATAATTCATAAAATACAAAACTTTTAGCCTGTTTGGGAGGCATTTGAAAAGCATTACATTCAACATCCCCATTTTATAGATGAATAGGTTGAAGCATGGTATTTAAGAGTGCATTGCTTCCTTGCCGGGTAAAGGCATGTCCTGAGCAGAACCTTTCACTAATGTTTTTACTGCAACGCAGCTTCATTTGCAGTTTGCTTCTTTAATTCGATTTTTAGTATCCTATTTGTCCTTATCATGAATTCTCTCTGTTGATAAATAAGAGGAAAGCTTTTGTCCACTGTGTTCTAGATCTCCATTTCTAGGTATGAGAACTGCCCTAAGGATAACCCCATGTACTACTGTAACAAGAAGACCAGCTGTAGGAGCTGTGCCCTGGACCAGAACTGCCAGTGGGAGCCCCGGAATCAGGAGTGCATTGCCCTGCCTGGTAGGCTTTACAGGGGCATCTTGGTGTGTGTGTGTGTGTGGGGGGGGGGTGGTGCGGGGGGATTCAAAGACTTCATACACATGCCTCCAATACTGTGCAGTTTTGATAGAACCCAGAGTGCGGCGGGCGGGGCACAAGCTTCTTTCATCCATTCATCCCTCATACCACTATTGTGGTTATTTTTTAAAACAAAAATACAGTTCTTAAGTATGCTCCTACCTTCTTTTGAAATGAAGTGAGACATCATCTGTTGTTCTAGAGAGTCAAATGACAGCTTGACTCTGTATTATTGAGCCCACTCTTTGTTTTCACCCCACTCCCCTGTGCAGCCTGGGAATACAATGCAGTAGTCTCAGCAGTCAGTCTGCTGGGCACCTGATGAAGAGTACTTCTTATTGACCACTGGGATTAGATTCTCAGCACCTTCTGACAAGAAGGCGGGGAGAGATGCCTATGTCCTCAACACCTCTTTGGGAGATCTGCAGCCCCAACTACCTTAATTTATGGCATTTCTGAGGTTTGGGATGATGAATTAAGGGGCCTGAGGCCAGCCAGCCATGACTAAAACTGTATGATATATTTGCTCAACCAAGATACTCACGAAGGGGGACTTCTGTGGCTCTGTGCAACATCTGAGGCATGTGCAGGGCAGTTGGGCTTTAGCAGTCCCCTTGTAAATGTCCTTTGGAAGTACTTGATTCAGCTTGCATGAGTGGTCTTGTTCTTTGTCTCATTGCACCTCAAACTTGAATGCACAGAGTACCTGGGGTTCTTGCTATAAGTCAGATTCGGGTAAAAATCTAGGGTGGGGCCCAGAATGTACATTTGAACAAACAGTGACACTGATTCCACACTTTGAGAAGCAAGTGTTTATCTGCTTTTAAATAATCCCTGACCCATGGTACCTTTCATTTATCTCACTGACTGTTAATGAACGTTGTTGATGGTGTCTCCAGGGTACTTTGGCTCTGGTGACTTTGGTTCTCTGGTGAAGTTGCTTTGCTTGCTGTCTTCCGGGAAGTATTCACTACTTCTTTGGGTAGTTTCAGGGAAATCACAGTAGCATATTATAGGCTTGCCTTGTGTGCTACAGTTGTATTACTTTGGTGGTGTTTTTTCCCCTCTTCAAAAGGATCTTTTCACTTCATGTTTGGGATAATTTTGCACTTGATTTTACCTTCCACTTGATGTGAAAACAGTGCCGCTTTTGAAGACTGTAGATTTATTCATTCACCAAATCATTTCTCTTCTTGCAGTTTTTAACCCCATCTTTCCAATATCCAATATTTGTATTCATTTTTCTGCTCTTTACTTGAATTTTAGTCTTGTTTTTAATTGTTCTTCAAAAGGAGATTTATAAAATCCAACCCTGGCACCAAACAAGCAAACGTTCTCTTCTAAGGCACAGGAGGGTTGACCTCAGAATGTTTTTTGAGATCCAAGAAATATGACTGATAAGCATTTTAAAAATTCTCATATTCTGTATTTGGTCCTTAGTAATGTATCTGATACTCTCACAACATCCTAGGAAGTTCCTGGAATTCAAATCACTAAAACCATTTAAGTGTTTGGTAATTCAAACTGGTAATTGTAATGGTATTGTGTGATTTCTAAAACTGTTTTTTCTTTCTCTTCCTCCTTTACAAAAGAAAATATCTGTGGCGTTGGCTGGCATTTGGTTGTAAACATGTGTTTGAAAATTACTACTGCCAAGGAGAATTATGACAATGCTAAATTGTACTGTAGGAACCACAATGCCGTTTTGGCTTCTCTTACAACCCAGAAGAAGATAGACTTTGTCCTTAAGCAGCTGCGAATAATGCAGTCATCGCAGAGCATGGTGAGTTAAAATCCTCAGAACATAAGTTTCTAGATCCACAGTCTACTGAGGGCATGAACACAGCTTACCTGTAACGTGCTTGGCAGGAGGAGTGCTGTGTAGCAGACTGTGGAACTGCACTGTCAAATTTTCTTGCTTTCATGCCTTCTTTCTCTCTTTCTTTCTTGTTAATCCTCACCTGAGGATATTTTTTCATTGATTTTTAGACAGAGTGGAAGGGAGAGAGAGACAGAGACAGAGACAGACAGACATCAACTGGTTACCTCCTGTATGACCCCAGCCGGGGCTAGGGATCGAACATGCAACCCAGGTATGTGTCCTGGACCAGGAATCCAACCCACAACCCTTTGGTCCATAGGCCAACACTCTAACCACTGTGTACACTGTCTAGGGCTGCCTTCTTTCTTATCTTAAAATTTTTAACACTTTTTTTTTATCCTCACCCAAGGACATTTTTTTGCATTTATTTTCAGGTAGAGCAGAAGGGAGAGAGGGAGGAAGAGAGAAAGAGAGAGAGAGAGAGAGAGAGAGAGAGAAACATTGCCGTGAGAGAGACACATCGACTGGCTGCCACACACGTGACCACAACTGGGGCCAGGGACCAGCTGCAACCGAGGCACATGCCCTTAGTGGGAACCAAACCTGGGACCCTCTGGTCCGCAGGCTGACACTCTAACTGCTGAACCAAGGCTCTAATTAGTCTTTTTTTTTTTTTTTTCAGTGCAACTTTGATATGTTCTGGATACTCAGACATTGGTAATACATTATAAATGTGGTTACCTCAGGGGACATTATGGCCACATTTGATCTTTTATATCTTAAAAGTTTTTTCAAACTTATAATTTCCATTAGAGACTGCTCATATTGTTTGTTTCTTTTTATCTCACCCCCAAATATGGGTCTCTACAGTGTTCTGTCCTTGGCTGTCAGCTGATCTTACCTATAGTCACTCCTTAGAAAATTGATGGCTTATAGTTTTGCTCATTACCAATGACTCCCAATTCCACGTGTCTCAAAGAATAGCAGGTTAGAAGGATTTGGCTCTCCTAGCTGGCCACAGATATTCTATCTTCTGGCCCCTCTTCTTTCTTCCTCAGGTTTTCTAGCTCTTGAAGGTTCTGGGGAGTCAAATTAGCTGGGACTACATTTATACAACAGGAATTCACAGTCTTGTGTTAAGCTGTAAGTGAAACTGTAAGTCTAGACTGAGAGCCCAAGCTTGTATGGAAAAACAAGCAAGAGTACCCAACCTAACCTTTAGGACAGAGGCTGGCTGATAGATAACTAGAAAGAGGTAACCCCTGAAGATGAGAAGGAGTGAACTGGGAAGGTGAATAGGGAAAGGATCTCTGTCCTTTGCTACTCACACATGCAAGACACGGAGATTGAGGGGTGAGCTCAGGCTGCGTGGAAAGAAACTGCTGTAGTTGGGTCTTATGAGGAATCAAGGCCAAATCCTGAGAGGCCTTGTCTGCAATGCTGATTGCTTTGAGTTTTATCATGAAAGGAAAGGGAAGTATTGAAGAACTTTTTTTTTATCTCACCCGAGGACGTTTTTCTATTTTTTGTTCAGATAGAGGGGGAAGGAGAGAGAGAGAGAGAAACATCACGAAAGGGATACATCGAGTGGTTACCACCCACAAGACCCAACCAGGGCCGGGGACAAACTGCAACTGAGGTACGTGCCCTTAGCGGGAACCGAACTCGGGTCTCTCTGGACCCTAGGCCGAGCCGACGCTCCAACCGCTGAGGCAAACCGGATAGGGCTATTGAAGAATTTTTATTTTTTCATTTATTTATTTTTTTATCCTCACCTGAGGACATTTTTACATTTATCTTCAGATAGAGTGGGAGGGAGAAAGGGAGAAAGAGAGACAGAGAAACATTGATGTGAGAGAGACACACCAAGTGGTTGCCACACACACAACCCCAACCTGAGGCCAGGGACAAACCGCAACTGACGTATGTGCCCTTAGCGGGAACTGAACCCGGAACTCTCTGGTCTGTGGGCCAACGCTCTAACCACTGAGCCAAACCGGCCAGGGCTTGAAGAACTTTTAAAACGCATTCATTTCAATTATTTTCTTTCCTTAAAAAATAATACATATTTCAAAAGAAATTTAGAAAATAGTAACATTAAAAATAAAATAAATACTACTCATTACAACTAAAAATAACTATGTTTGGGTGTGTTTATTTCTTTTAGGTCTTTTAATAGACATGCATAATATTTTTCCTCTCAAAAATGGAAATACATCGTACATTTTATTTTATAACTGGTAAGGACTATCTTTCATTTCTGGGCTAAACTTTATACTTTTACTTTAAAAGGATTTTTTAGCCCTGACCGCTTTGGCTTAGCAGTTAGAGCATCGGCCTGTGGACCAATGAGTCGTGGGTTTAATTCCAGTCAAGGGCACATACCTCGGTTGCGATTTGTCCCTGGCCCTGGTCAGGGTCGTGCGGGAGGCAGCCACTCAATGTGTCCCTTTCACGTCGATGTTTCTCTCTCTCTCTTTCTCTGTTCCTCTCTCTCCCTCCCACTCTGTCTGAACAAAAAATGGAGAAATGTCCTCAGGTGAGGATAAAAATAAATAAAAGGATTTTTTAATGCAGTGGGAAGGAAATTTCAGTAGAGCAGGAGACAGAAACTCTCCCAGGGGTTTACTGTGCCATTTTCCCTGTAAAATTCAGTGTCAGCCATTACCCCTCAGCTGAAGGTGGGAATTTACAATTATCTGAACTGGCCAATGCCCCCAAACAGGCTTAGTTAGTAATTCTGAGGATAGACATAGTATAACCAATATTTCATAAATAAATATTGGCAAGATGGTTTCATGTATGAATAGACATTTAAGACAAGTTTGGGGATGGCTGTCTCTTCATAGCATGTCATAGGATGTGGAAATTTTGGACCTTGATTATTGTTTTGCCATTAATCTCTGTGAAGTTTTTGATACATTATATTCTCTGAGCTATATTTTTGTCCTTTGTAAAATGGACATGTTGAAGTGCCAGACATGATATACAAGATAAAATGATGGTCTATCCTTATCTGCAATGGTTGAGTCAGTGTATAGGGAGGTTTTCCTGTATCTTTGGGGAATATATAACCTCATGGTTTTTATCTAGAAGCCTGTTTTGGTCAAGATATTGATTATGTTCATAGCTGTGTCTGTTTTGCCTATAGACCAAGCTGACCTTGACCCCATGGGTTGGGCTTCGGAAGATCAATGTGTCCTACTGGTGCTGGGAAGATATGTCCCCATTCACAAATAGTTCGCTACAGTGGATGCCATCTGAGCCCAGTGATGCTGGATTCTGTGGAATCTTGTCAGAACCCAGTACTCGGGGTCTGAAGGCAGCAACCTGCATAAACCCACTCAATGGTAGTGTCTGTGAAAGGCAGGGTAAGTATATGGGGAACTATGCATTATTGGTAGTTCTTTGAAGGAGAAACCATAGGAGGCATAGTATTGAGATATGTGAAATATTCATGAAAAACAGTATTGATTTCAAGCATATGAAGCAAAGTATAACCTGGAATTTTAAAAGCAGAAGGAATTACTATATTGCTCTGAATAGTATGGTCCATAAGCCTAAACAAAAATAACTAATACTACTCAAAGAACCTAATATTCTAATTAACAATGAGATTGATTGGTTTGTTGATCACAAAAAGTATTGAGACTTGCTCTAAAAGGTAAATTTCTTAGCGTTGACAGAGAAATGCTGTGGAAGAAAGAACCAAAAATGCAAATAAAAGCAAAGGAAAGATCAGAACTGACAGTGGGGGGCAAAAGGGACAGTGGACAGAAAGATTGTGTGAGTGGGGAGAACAAAGATGAGTGCAGTTCTGTGACCGAAAACAGAAGCAAACCTGATGCACTAAAGCTGTGCTTCAGTACTGAAGGCACAAACACTTTGAGTAGCTGCATGAGTTTGAATCTCCTCTGGACTACATTGAGGCTTCTTAAAGGCAGACACAGGGGCAGCACCTGCAGCATGCAGACAAGCGTCCTGCAGAGGGTCTCACAAGTAATAGGTGGAATTTTCTGGGCACTTTTGGTAGGCTGAACTTCATTGACATTATGTCTCATTTTAGGAAGGTACCATAATTTGAGGAACACAGAGGTGAAGAAGAGAATTTATAGCACTGTAGGAGTCACCTTTAAATATTATTTCTAAACTTCCTGAAGGGGAGCTTTTTAGCCATTTTGGATTCTGGGTGCTTTGTAGTCTGTCTTCTCCAAAATATACAAATACTTTGTTGCATATTCAGGTGGGTTATAAAAGCCCTGAAGTTCATCCTGGGTCCCCTATATTGTAAGGAGCTTTAAAACCCTTACTTGAATGGAAAAATTAGCTTGTTCTCACATGTCTGTCCTTAATGCTCTTAGAAAAAGAAAATCATCTTATCCCCCCAAGTGTGTAAATATACTTGACTAAATAGTACATGGTGACTGTAATGCTTTCTGTTTTCTCCTTCATTTAGTATAGTCAGTCCACTGAATTGATTTCATGACATACAACCTACTGAAAAGCCTTTGACCTTAGTTGACACGGTGGGAGCTCTAAGTGTCTCTCTTGGCTTTACTTCCCAGCAAACCACAGCACCAAGCAGTGCCGGACGCCATGTGCCTTGAGGACAGCGTGTGGAGAGTGCACCAGCGGCAGCTCCGAGTGCATGTGGTGCAGCAACATGAAGCAGTGTGTGGATTCCAATGCCTACGTGGCTTCCTTCCCTTATGGCCAGTGCATGGAGTGGTATACCATGAGCAGCTGTCCCCGTAAGTGAAAAGTGAGCTCTAGGCACAAATGAGGGCCTAGACAACTCCTGCGTAAGGCAGTGCTGTCAGCCTCTGAACATTTTAGGGACAAGACTGGACTCGACCTTCAGCTCAGGTCTGTCCATACTGTCTGATGAGAACCTTCATAGAGAATGAAGCACAATGACTAAGTAAATAAATATAGGTTAGATCATAGAATGTAGACATAACTGCTCAACTTCACTGTCATATTGCTCAATCCATGTATGGTCTCCACATCTTTTTTTTAAATTCTCACTCGAGAATATTTTTCTATTTATCTTCAGATAGAGTGGGAGGAAGAGAAAGGGAGAGAGAGAAACATTGATGTGAGAGGGACACATTGACTGATTGCCTCCCACTTGACCCCAGCCAGGTCCAGGGACTAACCACAACCAAGATATATGACCTTGGCTGGAATCGAACCCGAGACTCATTGGTCTGCGGGCCGACGCTCTCCTGCTGAGCCAAACTGGCCTAGGCTGGTCTCCACATCTTATTCATATAACTCATAAAGCAAGTGCTTTCTAGTAAGTGATAGTTAAGGTTCATTCTGCCTCCAATATCCTAGGATTGAGAAAGAGGGGAGGAGTCCCCATTACATGTAGAGCAGCAAGAAATTGGGTTCTTCAAATTTATTATGTCATTTAAAGTCACAATAGAATAGGAATTTTGACTCACAGAAATTGAATAGTCTGTTAAAGATAAAGGTAATTTAAATACAATGAATTCAAATCTACTGGTGATCATGAATTGCAACTTGTGTTTTTAACAGCTGAAAATTGTTCAGGCTACTGTACCTGTAGTCATTGCTTGGAGCAACCAGGCTGCGGCTGGTGTACTGATCCCAGCAATACTGGCAAAGGGAAATGCATAGAGGGCTCCTATAAAGGACCAGTGAAGATGCCTTCTCAGGCCCCTATAGGAAATTTCTACCCACAGCCCCTTCTCAATTCCAGCATGTGTTTGGAGGACAGCAGATACAACTGGTCTTTCATTCATTGTCCAGGTAAGATGTCTTGTGTACCCAAAATCAAGTATTTCACCACCTATTTGCAAATAATAAAACCTTGAAAGCTACGTTACTTATATGGATTTTCTTTCAGAAAAAAAAATTACATCTGTTTTGGAGAAAAAGTTTTACATGAAAAAGTATTTTTATTATCAATTAATGAAAATAAGAATTTTAAGTGAGCTGTTTTGTAAAAGTAATGAAATAAGTTCATAATAAAAAACGAAATATTACAGATATAGATAAAATAAAAACTCCTTGTCTCCAGTTCATCAGAGAGGTAAAAACTTTTTAACAGTTTGATACAGCTCTCTCTAGACATACCAACATATATTTTTAAAACAAAAAAAAATAGTACGCATATGATATAGTTCTGTAGTTTGTTTTTTACTTAAAAATACGTCTTGGCAGTTGTTGGTGGGAAATTAAAAGTAAGGTCTCTTGCCAACCCAGAAATTCCTCTCCTCAAATGTAGAAAAGAAAGAAAACAGTTTGCTTTAAGCAGACTGTGATGGGTGTCACAGGCAATCCAGTAATGAGATTGCAACGGCAAAGCAAAATCTCACCCTTTTAAATAAATAACCAAGTAGATACAATCCATTATATACATATTCTCAAGATGAATGATCCTTTGTCCTTATGTGAGAGGATTTGATGGCATCGGTTGCTGTACATTTTTTCATAGTTCATCCTGAATTTACATGGTAATTGGGGTGACCACCTGTGTTAAGTAATTACCTTTAAGAAAAAATAGACCGTGTTGTAACTTTATGATAAGCATGTGGTTGCAGCTTGGTACAGTGCACCTAGGCTAAATTCCTGAAATGCCTAGGAGATGGGGTGCTATTTCCTTGATATTTTCATTTCAAAGAGATGGCTCCCAGGCCCTTAAGAAAAACATTATTGGATTGTAGTGCTGACAAGAGGCTTATTTAGGTTGAAAAAAGATTTATATAATATGAAAGAAACAGAAATGATATATAAATACAGGTTTTCTTAATGAAATGTTCTAAGAAAAGGGAGAAGGGGAAAAGATCTCTTTCCATTTTGGCAAAAGGAAAAATCCAATTTGCCTGTTTGTCTCCCTTGCTCCCTCCCTCCCTTTCTCTCTCTCTCCTTCTATCTATCCTCCCTCTCCTTTTCCCCTCCTTCCTTCCCTTTCCCTCCTATCCTTTTCTTTCCTTCTCTCCCTCTTTCCCTCCTCTCTGGGCTTTCCAGTGGTTGATGCAAGAAGGAATAGACCATGAGTTGGCCTAAAAGCCTGCTGGGGAGGCTACCCTAAGAAACTAACCTTGAAAAATTGGCCTTTGATTCAGATTTTCAGTAAATACTCAGGAATGTGCTGATGGACCTCCAGTACAGTTGGGAGAGTCTAGGCAGGTACAAAGTCTCCCAGGAGGTTAGTCTGTGAGAACTTCTCTAAGAGCCTGTCAGACAGTGCCACTGACCACAGCGCTCTCTGTGAGTTATGTAAGGGAAAGACCATCGTAAACAAAAAGAAAAGGTAAGAGACAGACTGGGAAAAAATATCTGCAGAGTATATATCCAATGATTCCAGAGTATGTAAACCTCCTCCCTCCAGGAAAAAAGTAACTAAATGTCAACCCAACAGAAAAAGTAGGCAAATGATGTAAAGAAGTAGCTGCACCATTTTGCATTCTCACTAACAATGTAGAAGGCGCAGATTTCTTCACATCCTCATCAATACTGTGTTCATCTTTTTCTTTTTCTTTTTTTAAATCCTCACCCAAGGATATTTTTCCACTGGTTTTTAGAAAGGAAGGGAGGGAGAGAGGGGGGAAAAAAAAACATCGATATGAGAGAGAGACACATTGATTGGTTGCTTCCCACATGTACCCCGACTGGGGCCAGGAATCAAACCCACAAAACCCAGGCACATGCCTTTGATCAGAAATTGAACTTGTACCTTTCCATGTGTGGGCGACACTCTAACCACTGGGCGACACTGGCCAGGGCAACACTGTGTTCACCTTTTTAAATTGCAGCTGTTCTCTGTATGAGAAGTGGTATCTTACTGTGGTTTTGATTTGCATTTCCCTAGTGACTAATGAAGTTGAGCATCTTATTGACCATTTGTATGTCATCTTTAGAAAAACGTCTATTCAAAGTCTTTGCCCATTTTTAAAGTGCATTATTTATCTTTATATTATTGACCTATAAGAGTTCTATACGAATCCTAAATATGTCCCTGGTTGCAATATTTTCTTTCATTATTTTTTCTTTCTTTTTTAATTAGTCTTTTTAAATTTTATTTTATTTATTTATTTTTGTTACAGATGTTTCTCCTTTTACCCCCATTGACACCCTCCTCTCCCTCCTTCCCCGCCCTGGCCCCAGCTTTGTTGTCCATGTTCATTGGTTATGTGAACATGCATATAAGTTCTGTGGTTTATCTCTCCCCCACCCCTACCCCCTTTTCTGGGGATTGTCAGTCTGTACCCTACTTTCACGTCTCCAGGACTACCCTGTTCTTCAGACTGTTATGTTCATTATAGTCCACAAATAAGTGAGATCATATGATACTTGTCTTTCTCTGCTTGGCTTGTTTTGCTTAAGATAATACTTTCCAGGTCCCTCCATGTTGTCTCAAAGGATAAGAGATCTTTCTTTCTTACAGCTGCATAGTACTCTATTGTGAAATGTACCACAGCTTTTTTATCCATTCGTCTACTGATGGACACTTGGGCTGTTTCCAGATCTTAGCTGTTGTAATAGTGCTGCTATGAACATGGGGGTACAGATATTCTTTCTGATTAGTGTTTCAGGCTTCTTAGGATATATTTTTAGAAGTGGGATCACTGGGTCAAACGGCAATTCAATTTTTAATTTTTTGAGGTAACACCATAGTGTTTTCCATAGTGGCTGCACCAGTCTGCATTCCCACCAGCAGTGTACTAGAATCCCCTTTTCTCCACACCCTCGTCAACACTTGTTGTTTGATGATTTGTTGATGATGGCCATTTTGATAGATGTGCGATGATACTTCATTGTTGTTTTAACTTGCATCTCTCTGATGATTAGTGATGTTGAGCATTTCTTCATAGGTCTCTTAGCCATTTGTATGTTCTGTTTGGAGAGGTGTCTATTTAGTTCCTTTACCCATTTTTTTTTTTTTTTTATCCTCATCCGAGGACATTTTTCCATTTTTTGTACAGACAGAGTGGGAGGGAGAGAGAGGGAGAGAGAGAGAGAGAGGGAAACATCGATGTGAAAGGGACACATCGAGTGGCTGCCACCCGCACGACCAACCAGGGCCGGGGACAAACTGCAACCGAGGTACGTGCCCTTAGCGGGAACCAAACCCAGGTCTCTCGGGACCACAGGCGGACGCTCTAACCGCTGAGCCAAACCGGCCAGAGCCCTTTACCCATTTTTTTAATTGGGTTCTTTGACCTTTTTTTGTTGAGCTGTATGAGCACTCTGTATATTTTAAAAATTAACTCCTTATCTGATATATCATTGGCAGTTATGCTCTCCCATACAGTGGTTGCCGTTCCATTCTGGTGGTGGTTTCTTTTGCTGTGCAGAAGCTTTTGAGTTTGATGTAGTTGCATGTGTTCATTTTTCTCTTTTGTTTCTGTTGCCTTAGGTGATGTGTCAGTAAAAATTCTGCTGCATTGATGTCTGAAATTTTGTTGCCTATATTTTCTTCTAGGATTTGTATGGATTCATGAGTCACATTTAAGTCTTTTATCCATTTTGAGTTTATTCTTGTGTATGGTGTAAGTTGATGGTCTAGTTTTATTTTTTTACATGTAGCTGTCCAATTTTCCCAACACCCTTTATTAAAGAGGCTGTCTTTACTCCATTGTATGCTCTTGCCACCTTTGTCAAATATTAATTGAGCATAATGTTTTGGGTCTATTTCTGGGTTCTCTGTTCTATTCCATTGATCTATGTGCTTGTTCTTGTGCCAGTACCAGGCTGTTTTACAGTAGCTTTGTAGTATAACCTGATATCCGGTATTGTGATCCCGCCCACTTTGTCCTTTTTTTTTTCAAGATTGCTATGGCTATTTAGGATCTTTTTTGGTTTCATATGAACTTTTGAAGTATTTGTTCTAGTTCTGTGAAGTATGTCATTGGTATTTTGATGGGGATTGCATTGAATCTATATATAGTTTTGGGTAGTATGGACATTTTAATGATGTTAATTCTTCCAATCCATGAACAAGGTATGTACTTCCACTTTTTTATATCTTCCTCTATTTCTTTTTTCAATGACCTGTAGTTTTCTGTGATGAGGTCCTTTACTTCTTTGGTTAAGTTTATTCCTAGGTATCTTAATTTTTTCTTTCTTTTTTTTTTATCCTCACCCGAGGACATTTTTCCATTTTTTGTTCAGGTAGAGTGGGAGGGAGAGAGAGAGAGAGAGAGAAACATCGATGTGAAAGGAGCACATCGAGTGGCTGCCACCTGCACAACCAACCAGGGCCGGGGACAAACTGCAACCGAGGTACGCGCCCTTAGCGGGAACCGAACCTAGGTCTCTCAGGACCGCAGGCCGACGCTCTAACCTCTGAGCCAAACCGGCCAGGGCAGTTTTTTCTTTCTTAATAGTATCTTTTGAAATACAAAAGTTTTAAATTTTGTAATTCCAGTGTGTTTTTTTTTAATCCCATGTGCTTTTGGTATTGCAGCTAAGAAATCAGTGCCTTAACTAACCCAAGATCACAGAGATTTACTCCTGTGTTTTCTTTTTTTTTTTTTTGGTACGTGCCCCTAGCGGGAACTGAACCCAGGACTCTCTGGTCCGCAGGCTGATGCTCCAACCGCTGAGCCATACTGGCCAGGGCCTGTGTTTTTTTTAAAGTTGCATTCCTTTATCTCTTATTTTTAGGTCCGTGATCCACTTTTTTAAAAATGTTTTAAGTCAGATATCTTTTATTATTTTTAAATATGTTTTTATTTATTTTTTTAGGAGAGAGAGATAGAAACATCGATGTGAGAGAGAAACACTGATCGACTGCCTCCTGCATGCCCCCCGACTAGGGATTGAGCCCACAACCCAGGCATGTACCCTGACAGGGAATTGAACCAGGACCTCTTTGTTAATGGGATGATGCTCAATCCACTGAGCCACACCTGCTGGGACATGATCCACTTTTTTTTTTTTGGTTACTCCTCATCTGAGGATATTTTTCCCATTCATTTTTAGAGATAGTGAAAGGGAGAGAAGGAAGGAAGGAGGGAGGGGGAGAGAGAGAAAGAATGAAAGATGTCGATTGGTTGCCTCTCGCATGCACCCCATTTAGTGCCAGGGATCAGACCTGCAACCCAGGTACGTGCCCTTGACTGGGAATTGAACTTGTGATCCTTTGGTCAACAAGCTGATACCCTAACCACTGAACCACACCAGCCAGAGCCATGATCCACTTTTTTTTTTATTTTATCCTCACTGGAGGACATTTTTGCATTTATCTTCAGATAGAGCAGGAGTGTGTGTGTGGGGGGGCATTGATGTTAGAGAGACACATTGACCGGCTGCCACCTACACGACCCCAACCGAGGCAGGGACAAACTGCAACCGAAGTACATGCCCTTCTCGGGAACTGAACTCAGGCCGATGCTTTAACTGCTGAGCCAAACTGGCTAGGGCATCAATTATTTAAATGTTGATAGAATTTATCAGTGAAGCCATCTGGGCTTGGACTTTTCTTTGTAGGAAGATCTTTGATTATTAATTTAATCTGTTCATGTATATAGGTTTATTCAGATTTTCTATTTCTGCTTGAGTCAGTTTTGATAATCTGTGTTTTTCTAGAATTTGTCTATTTCATCTAAGTAATCAAATTTGTTGGCACACAGTTCATAATATTTTCTTAAAGACATCTTTTTAGCCATGTGTGTTCTCCTGTTTAACCTATTGAGGGTTTTTTGTTTTGTGTCTAATTTTGTTTTATCCATTTTTATTTTGCAAATTCTATAAATATTATGAGGTGTTTATTTTTTTTTTCAGAGCTTGTGTTCTTGTTATTTTTAAATTTTTTTTGTTAAACCTTGTCTGAGGATATTTTCCATTGATATTTAGACAGAGTAAAAGGGAGGGAGGGAGAAAGGGGGAGAGAAAGAGAGAAACATGAATGTGAGAGAGAGACATTGATTGTTTGCCTCCAACACAACCCTGACCAGGGCCAGTGATTGAACCTGCAACCCAGGTACGTGCCCTTGACCAGGAATTTAACTCATGAACCTCTGGTCCACGGGCTGACACTCTTACTGCTGAGCCAAACCAGCCAGGGTCATAGCTTACTTTCTTATTTAACTGATACAATAATCTCTCAAGTCTCTTTCAATACTAAAATTAGTATTTTTCATTCTCTTAAGTTTCTTACATCAACCCTCTTCCCCCTTCAGGGTTAGTTGCTCTTCATGTTTATCAAGGTGGTGCCTTTACACTAATGATTTTCTTATACTGGTTACTTTTCAAGGTTGATTTTTATTTGTTTTTAGGATTTTCTAGATTTATCACTATTAGGTACACTGAGCTGTTGTGAAGGTGTTGTATGGTGTCCTAAGGAAGAAGCTAGCTAGCCAGCCACAGGACTCTCCAATTCTGGTCTGCTCTGACTGTTGTAGAGTGGTCTGCATTCCTCCCTCAATGGAAGAAGAAGGGAGCAATGGACCACATGCCTGGATGCATTTGTCATTTTCATGATTGTGCCAACTGCCTCCCCGCACTGGGATGTTATAGCAACCTGAAGATAGCTGGAACATTGCCCTGATTTTTTTTACTGACCCCCAACTTCCCCTCTCCTTCCCACCCCACAGAACTGTCCATTCCTACTGTAGTCCCGGACAGATGCCTCAGCTAGCTGTTGAGCAGGTCATGAGGTACTTCCTACTATCCATCACTCTCCTGAGGCCTGCTCTGGCTCTCAGCCTTTGTTGGATTGTTCAGGTGTCAAGTGGTAAAGTGCATGTAGTCACTTTGTCAGTCCCTTCCTTTTGCTACATGAGGATACAGGTGTCTCAACTCTCATTTTTCTGTCAGATTGACTATATCTGCTTTACAATTTCTAGAAATTCCTCAGTATTTCAGAAGTATCTCTAATACTTCTGATAGCACATTTTTCTCTCATCCCATACTCCTATTGATTTAATAATTGTTTTTATATTTCTTCTGTAATTTCAGTGAGATTTTGAAGAGGAACCAGAATATAGATTTTTTGTAGATGATTTTAGGTATTATATTTTATGTGTGTTGTGTTTTGCTGTTTTGCTGTATAGTTGGTCCTCCATATCCATGGGTTTTGCATCCACAGAGTGGAAGGCTGACTAAGGGACTTGAGCATCAGTAGATACGAAGGGATGACTGTATAGAGGGTTATTCATCTTCACAGGAATAACATGTATATCCCATACAGCTAAAGTAATTTTGGTGCAGCCCTGGCCAGTGTTGCTCAGTGGTTAGAGTGTCAGCCTGCACACTGAAGTGTCATGGGTTCTATTCCTGATCAAGGACACATCCCTGGTTTGCAGGTTCGATTGCCAGCCCTTTGGGCGCATGTGGGAGGCAATCAATTGATGTGTCTCTCTCGCATCGATGTTTCTCTCTCTCCCCCCTTCCTCCCTCTCTTCTACTCTCTCTAAAAAATAAAAAATAAATGGAAAAAAATATCCTTGGGTGAGGATTAACAAAATAAATACAAATAAAGTGATTTTGGTGTAAACATAACTGATACAGTCATTTTGAGTTTTTCAGCTGCAGTGTTTATAGAACAACTCGAATACCTACAGGGATGAGGTAGAGAATAGTTGGTAAGTAGAACAGATACAGGGTTATGGAAAGTTTCTGATATAGTAAAAAAACTGTATCATGCTAATCAAGCAAGAAAGATCTGCAAAAGCAGCTAGAAGAGTAAATCTTAAATGTTCTCATACACACAAAAAAATATGTGATGTGATCTAGGTTATAGCTAATGCTATGGTGATAATCATTTGGCAATCTATAAGTGTATCAAATCAACATATTGTACACCTTAAGTTTACCCAATGTTATATGCCAATTATATCTCAATAAAACTGTTTACTGTGGTACAGGTTGTGTGCTATGTAATGGCCCCTCTGGAGTCTGCAGTGCATAGCTGCACAGCTGTACTGAGCAGTCCTGAGTGGTCCAGGCTTCTGTGCCCTCCTAGTTATAAAGTTCTTATGCATCAAGGATCTTACTTGTTCCACTTATGGAAATGTTTATATATAAAGATGGTTATTTTTCTAAAAATGAAAAATTGAAAGCAAACTATCGGAATTTAAGGGAATGGTTAAATAACTTATGCTTCATAGAAATCATTATGCCACTAAAAGTTTTGTTTATGATAGATGAAATAATGTGGTAAAATAATTGTGATCTAAGTTTAAAAGTCAGAATTTAATATTACGATGAACAACAACTGTGTAAAACTTTATTTTAAAAATACTGAAAGGAAAAATTCCAAATGTGAACAGTGATCTCTGGGTGGTAGAATTGTATATGATTTTCCTGCCTTCCTTGTATTTTTCAAATTCAACTACCATAAGCATATATTATTTTTACAATGAATAGCAACAAAAATTACTGTTTTGATGGCTATGGAATTTCTTCTTGCAGTCTTATACTTCTGATTTTCACGCACTGGCTCTTGTTTGATATTTTAATCTTATTTCTCAAACTAGTTTTTAGTTAGCCAATTTTGATGATTTTGTCTTTAGAGGCAGTTAAGGAGCCTAGATAACTGCAAATAAATCTTGTGGAACTTACTCCACCCAGTTGTATAATGGGACAAAAAGAAAATTATTTTTCTTTCAGCTTGCCAGTGCAATGGCCACAGCAAATGCATTAATCAGAGTATCTGTGAGAAGTGTGAGAACCTGACCACGGGCAAGCACTGTGAGACCTGCATATCTGGCTTCTATGGTGATCCCACCAATGGGGGGAAATGTCAGCGTAAGTCAAATCCATCCATCAGGGTTACTGACGGCAACCTAGGCAAAACACAGTACTTCTGTTTGACTTGAATATGTAAGAGGAGAGAAGCCACTTGGTTTTGGATACTGTGTTTCTTAAGTCATACTTGTCAGCAGTTCAGCTGAGTCTGGGAGAAAGTGAGTTGAGCTGTCAAGTGTCCGAGTAGCCAGTTAAAGCAACAAACCAAAAATGAAAGAATTAAGCTTTTAATCACTTGCTGCGGTGGTATAAGAAAGAGTCTTAAAGTGGAGAAAGAACTGACTCCCCTTGTTCCATGATCCCTCCTGGGATGGTGCGCTGGCTGAGTGGCAGTTGGATGAGCACACAGGTGGGGGTTCTTCTCACTGTTGAGGGAGCCCAGACAAAAGGCTCAGCAAAAGCCTCTTATGGACCCTGAGGTGGGAGGGGAGGGTGAAGGGGAAAAGCCAGAAGAAGAAAAGCACTGGTGACTGAGAGTGGGGAAAGTGTCTTCAAGGCTCCCTCCTCCTCCCCACAAGGAGGCTCAGCAGAGGCCTGAAGATGACCTCTGCCCAGGCCTCAGACAGAGACCTAGGAATGAAGGTGGCTGAAGTAGGGATGCAGATGTGTGAAAACAGGTGGCCAACCAGGGGTTCCTGAGACCTTGGCTGCAGCTCCTTTCAGAGACTTCCACCCAAGGTGGTATGGGGAGGGCAGCTTTCTCTGTAAGGCCTGCCAGGGAAAGCCTATGGTTGGAAAAAATCACATGTAGGTTTTTAACCAGGAGCTGGACTCCTCAGTACTTCTGTTATATTTTAAATATTTAAATAGTTCCTTGTTTCCCTATACATGTCAAAGAGGTTCCTATAAGCAATAGGATATTCTATTGTTAGAACATAAATTATGTTTTCATAAATGATCAGTGATACCAATAAACCGATTTTTGGTTTGTGCTAGTTTCCAGTGGACAGACTTTTCAAATTCTAAGCAGGAAAATAAATAACAGAAGAAAATCTCTGGCTACTCCCCAAATTCTGCCTCTAAACCCCTTAGCCTGGCCCTTGAAAACAGTCTGATCACAGAGCAACCAGGAGAGAGCTGTATTCTAGCAGTATCCCTAAACCTCTCTGGGGTTTGGTTTCCTCGTCTGCAAAGTGGGGAAATTAGGGTGGTTGTTGAAATGAAAGCAGTCAGAGGAGTACATGACATGCAGTCATCACTCAGTAGATGTGAGCAATTATTATTACTCTTCTATGTCATTTCCTACCACTTTTAAATAAAATCTCTTACTCAGATTAAAAGATATTCAGTAAAAATATTTTCCCACTCCTGTGAATAGACTTCATCCATTAGACAGTAATCAGAGTACCTAATCTTCTTGATAATTGTGTACAAGGCATTGTGCTGGCAGCCACCTGAGACATAGGGGCTTTTATTATCCCCATGATCAAGGAACCTGCCCAGCTTCTCACTGCAAGATGTGGCTATGCTGGGAACCACATCTAGGATGTGTGGATTTAACTGTTGGGCCTCCTTGTGCCTCCAAGTGCCTGTACTGACAGCCAGGTCAGCTGGGATCTGTGCCTTGTCATTATCGTGATATCTGCATCTACCATCTAGAAAAATTACATCCTGCCCTGTAGCATTTGTGGGGCCTGAGTACTATCGTCCAGAACTTAGAACTAACTTTATTTTTTAGAATTTCAATCTACAATAGAAAGCATGGTTTTTAAAATACTGTGAGTGACACCAAGTCTTTAATGTTTTCCTCTTAGAATTGAATAGTCTTTAAGCTAAGGATAATAGCCATGATTTATTGAATGCTTACTGTGTTTCACCCATGTATTGTCTCGTTTATTTCTCACAACAACCCTATGAGATAGGTATTGTTGTTATCCCCATCATGTGGATGAGGAAACAGAGACTTAGAGGAGTTTAATAGCATGCCCAAAGTTACAAAGGAGTTAAGTGGGGGGGACTGAATTCAAACCCAGGCAAATTGACTTTAGGATTTTACCACCCCCTCCATACTCAACTGAGCCAAGAGTTGAACACTCATGTTTCTGAATGAACATTTATCCATCCTCATAACTGTTTTACTATTCTGTTTCACAGATTTCTTTGGGTGATTTTTTTTCTCGGCAAGATATATTTTAAAAGTATACCTATCTTTCCGGTCTAATGCCTTTAATTTATTCACAGGAAAACAGGGTATAAAGTAAAAAGTAATTGAGCAAAAAGATTCACGTATTTCAACTAGAGCATAAAATTGATTATGACTCATACTTACGTGCTGGATAAAAAAAGGTAGAGGTGTCGATGGCTAGAGGAGGGAGATGACAGAAGCTGTTTTCTGTGGAGGCTAAGATGAAGGCAAGAAAGGGTGGTGAGTCCTGAACGGCCTCTGAAACACTAATTTGCCATTGGAATCCCACCTCAGTTCTGAGCCCTAGTGTGATTTGAAGCGTGACCTTTGTGTAGAAGGCACCTCAGCTGAGACAGAGTGCACCCTCACCAACCCTGCCATTGCGCATTCATTGCTCAGCACATCTCCATGGGGGCAGGGACTGTGTCTGTCCTCACACCCAGTGAGTGGCACACTGGAGATACTTTATAAATGTTTATTGAATGACTGAAAGAATCATAATAGTGAAAAATAGAGTCTATTGAAAAGATAAAATTGTGATTGCTTCAGATGGAGTAGAAATGACATTTTTTCCCCTGTCCTTTAACTTGGTTTGTTCAATGTTGCCTTTACATTATTTGAGATAGGTCATTAGCTGAAAATAAGAGTATTACCCATTAAATGCTTTTATTTTAATCTTTCATGTCAAATCCAATTCAGATAATATTACTTGTTTTAGAAAAAGTTTCTGATAGTAGAAATCTTTTAAGCCAGTGTGACCAACCTTCCTATTCCTCCTTCCAGCATGTAAGTGCAATGGGCACGCATCTCTGTGCAATACCAACACGGGCAAGTGCTTCTGCACCACCAAGGGCGTCAAGGGGGACGAGTGCCAGCTGTGAGTACCACCTTCCGGGACCCCTGCCGCAGGTCACGCCTGGGTTTAGTGACTAACAGCCAGGTCAGCTGGGTCTGTACCTTGTTGCCATGGGCTCTAAGGGATCCCCGAGTTGATTGATTTGGAATTTTGCCTGTTCTATTTCAGACAGGTCTAGCTTGGTCAGCTTCCGTACTGAGTGGGTCATCAATTTAGCAGCTCCTTAGTGACTCTTCATTTCACATTTTTATGTTTGAGTGACACTGACATTCCCTGGGTTGCTGACTTGGATTAGTTGTTTAACTTCAGCCACTACTCAATTTTTGTCATGTCAGGAGATTGCAACCTTTTCTGAATGGTAGGGTTGGAAGAGCTGGTATTTCAGGACAGTATTTTATTTGGCATTGTGGTTATCTGATAATGGAGATGATCCTCTCTGGCCTTTAACATACCCCTCACTGTTCTAGCATTTTCCTTGATGAAGTATATGAGACATCGTCCAGAGTCCCCATCCACGAGGATGCAGGCAGATGTGGGGTTTCAGCCCTGACTGTACCTCCACTGAGCAGGGTCTTCTTGAGGTGAATCACTTCAACTGTGCTGAACCTAAGTTTCCACATCTATCAAGAGTGGGACTAGCAATAATTGTTTTTAATGTCCTGGAATGTTGAAAGAAGAGAGATTCTTCTCCAAGTAATATATTCCTGTCTGCCTTACCAAAAAACCTCATAAAACACATGCTCCAGGTTCACTCATTCTCTCAAGAAGAGACTTAGAAATGTTTAGTAGTATCAAAATATTGGGCTGATATGAGCAGATGTGTCATTGGTAAACTTTGTTTTGCATAAAGAACACTAGTAATGTCACCAGTAATTGAGGCCTCAATAGTGGTGTTCAGGAGGAAAATGCTCTGTCTACATTTTATAGTTTATACCAGTGTATACGTTTACTGATTTTATGCTGCCCTAAAGCCAATGTGTGAAGAAAAGTCTAATCAAAGATCAAATTTAATTTTTGAATCTAGGTTTCTTTAAATAGAAAAATGTAATAGAGCAAAATTATCACTTTTGTCCTCATTTTTGGTATACAGCAAAGAAATGAGGAATAGGTCCAATGAAATACTTTCTTTTTAAGAGATTTAGGTAGAAGAAAGTGCTATTAATCACCTACATAAAAAGACACATATCCTGCCCTGGCCGGTTTTCTCAGTGGTTAGAGCGTCGGCCTGGGGGCCCAAGAGACCCGGGTTTGATTCCTTCCAAGGGCACGTACCTTGGTTGCAGTTTGTCCCCGGCCCTGGTTGGGTCATGCGGGTGGTGGCCACTCGATCTGTCCCTTTCACATCGATGTTTTTCTATCTCTCTCTCTTCCTCTCTCTCCCTCCCACTCTAGCTGAACAAAAACATGGAAAAATGTCCTCCGGTGAGGATAAAAAAAAAGACACATATCCCTGTATTTATCTGGGAAAAGTGCTTGGCCCAAGCTTTCCCCTTTTTTCATAGTTGATAGCTGTTGTACCTGCCTACATGGTTTGGCTGATGTTTTAACTATGGGGAAATTAATAATTCTTTTTGACTAGAACTGATGTTTTTTTCTCCAGACTGGTGAATCATGTTCAAGGTTTAAAAAAAAAAAAGATTCTTTGTGTTTGGCCTTCTTTCACTTGTATTTGGAGAACAGGATCGATCAGTTTATCCAGGGAGAATAGGAAAGAAGTGAAAAGTAAATATATAAAAAATGTTTTAACTGAACTTTTAGAAGAATGTTTAGTTTACACAAAAGTGAAAATGTGTTTTTTATGATTACAAGTAGGCTCTAGATTTATTATATTTGGATTTATCTCATGTGCTTTGGCAAATGTTCATCAGTTGGTGGTGTGAACTGCTGGGCAGTCAGCATTGAATATGAATGCAGATTCTTATTCATCTAATTTGAATAACAGTGAAGAATGTAATTATACTGCCACAAAATTGGTAGTTTATATTAAAGGAGCTACTTGATTTTTAAATGAATGTAGATTCTCTTTTAAATAGTAATAGAAAATAATCTTCTTTTTGTCCTCCCCAGATGTGAGGTAGAAAATCGATACCAGGGAAACCCTCTCAAAGGAACATGTTACTGTAAGTGTTTTTGTAATTCTTATCTATCTAGAAGCAAAGTAGTTCAGTAAAACTTTATTGTCTTTAATATTGTTTGAGAATGGGAAGTGCTGTAGGAATATAGCAACAACCCATGAAGTGTCCCCTTATTTGATGTGTTTACATTTTATAAGTTTAAGACATATATAGACACAATTTTAAACTGCTTTAATTATAGTTGTGGTTTATGTTAGTATATCTGTAGCAAATATAAGGGAAGAGCACAGAGATAAACATCTCTGGCTTTCTTGCTTATTTCTCTTGAAACCGTATTTCATTTTCCATTATCTGGTTGGGGTCACCATATTCCTTATTTTAAGATATAGATAAAAAAATAATTCTTAAAATATAGTTGAAGTCATCATTCTCTATGAAACAGATTTGGGTTAACCACTTCCTTAGGAACTAATATATAAAATAAAATCTTGCCCTGGCTGGTGTGGTTTAGTGGTTAGAGCGTTGGCCTGTGCACTAAAGGATTGTGGGTTCGATTCCTGGTCAAGGGCACGTACCTGGGTTGCAGGTTCTATCCCCGGCCCTTGTCCCTTGTCCCTTGTGGGGGTGCATGTGGGAGGCAACCAATCAATGTGTCTCTTTCACATGGATATTCTCTCTCTCTCTCTCTCCTATCCCTCTCCCCGCCCTCCCGTCCACTCTCTCTAGAAAATCAGTGGAAAAAATATACTCGGGTGAGGATTAACAAAAAATACAAATAAAATCTCCAATGATTAACTTATAGTGAAAGGTAAATCTGGCAAAGTGACCAGGTGCTTATGGGTAAATGCATTTCTTCCAGTAGGAGAATCTACATAGTAGGCCAGATATTAGAACCAGAAAAAAAGGAGTTAATATTTGGCATATCCACTGTAATTATATACCTGCTTTCCTGGGTTAAATAGTGGCCCCTCAAAATTCATGTCTACCTCGAACCTATTAAAAACCTATATATATATGTGTGTGTGTGTTTATATATATATACACACACATATATGTGTGTATATATATATATATATGTTTGTTTGTTTGTTTCTTTTCCCCACCTAGGAGAAAAGAGAAAAACTTTATGATGTGTGTAGGGGAAATAGTTCTTTGATATGATTTCAAAAGCACAATTCATAAAAGAACTTTGTTTATTAGGACTTATCAAATATATACATAGCCATTGGGCACAGACAGTTCGTCAAAGGTGGGGGGGGGCGACAGGAGCAGGGAGGAGAGGGTCAATGAGGGTGGGAAAGAGGGACAATAAAGATAATTTGTTTTTTGAATCCTCACTTGAGTATATTTTTTTATTTATCTTCAGATAGAGTGGGAGGGAGGGAACAGGAGGGAGGGAGAGAGAGAGAGACATCAACATGAAAGAGGCACGTTGACTGGTTGCCTCCTGCAGGACCCCGACCAGGGCTGGGGATGAACCGCAACCAAGGCACATGACCTTGACCAGAATTGAACCTGTGACTCATTGGTCCTCGGGCCAACACTCTAACCACTGAGCCAAACTGGCCAGAGCTAAAGATAAAAATTTTAAAAATAAAAAAATAATTCGTATTGTAAAAAAACACCATTAAATAATAAAAAACAAGCTCTGGCCTGTGTAGCTCAGTTGGTTGGGGCATTGTTCTGTATACTGAAAAGGGAGTGGGTTCAATTTCTAGTCAGGGCACATTATCTGGATTTTGGTTTTGATCCCCGGTCTTGGCCTGTAAGGGAAGCAGCCAGTCAATGTTTCTCTCTCACATGGATGTTTCTCCCTCTCCCTCTCCCTGCCTCTCCCTAAAATCAATAAAAAACGGATCCTTGGGTGAGGGGGGAAAAAAGCTTTTCAATTTTTTTTTTTCATCCTCACCCGAGGACACTTTTACATTTATCTTCAGATAGAGTGGGAAGGAAAGAGGGGGGGAAGAGAGAGAAACATCGATGTGAGAGAGACACATCGAGTGGCTGCCACCCAAATGACCCCAACTGGACAGGGACAAACCGCAACCGAGGTACATGCCCTTAGCAGGAACCAGACCTGAGACTCTTCTGGTCCATGGGCCGATGCTCTAACTGCTGAGCCAAACTGGCCAGGGCTCAATTATTTCTTTTAAAAAAATAAAGTAAAATAATAAAGAAACAAGCCACAGACCAGAAAATGTTTACAAAGCATATATTTTTGATAAAGCACTTATCTCCAGAATATATGAGGAACTCTTACAACTGTATAAGGAGACAATTCCAGTTAAAAACAGGCAAAGGATTTGAGTAAACGTTTTATCAAAGAATATATATGAATGGCCAGTAAGCATATGAAAAATGAGTAATGCTGGATATTTGGGATATATGTATTAAAACCAGTGAGATATACTCCTAGAATGACTAGAATCAAAAGCATCAAAAGCCAGTACTGTGGCTTAAGAGACAGCTGGAGTCTCACATCTGCTTCTACGTTCTGTTGCAGTGTATCTCTGGTAAAAGTACATGGGAAAAACCTGGCTTCACCAGACATATAGTTGGAAAAGGGAGTATTTTAATTACCTTTTCAGATAATTTGATATCATACCAAAAACAGACAATTGGCCATTTTTTAAAGGTTACCATAGTTACCATGTGGAACCTGAAACCACATCAGTAAATTTTTTGTAATCTGGTACATTTAAATCTGTTTACTAGCTTGAAAAATAAAAGTCAATACCAAGTTTTAACAGTGATGTGGAGAAACTTCATACATTCTTTGTGGGAATGTGAAATGGTAGAGCCACTTTGTTAAACCATATGGCAGTTTTTTAAACAGTTAAAAGTAAAATTACTGCCCTGTCCAGTGTGGATTAATTGGTTGGGTATCATCCCATGCACCAAAAGGTTGCCCATTCAACTCCCAACCAGGGTATATACCCAAGTTGTGGGCTTGATTGCTGGTAGGGGGCATGCAGGAAAATGCTGATCAGTGTTTCGCTTTCACATTGATGTTTCTCTCTCCCTCTCCCTCCCTTTCTTTCTAAAAATCAATTTTAAAAATATAAAATAAAATTACCAACAACTCCCCATTTATAGCATTACATCCTTAAGCACAACCTAGCATGTTGTAGATGTTCAATTAATATTTGTAGGTAAGTTAGGTTGGAGTTTTAAATTTTCAACCAGGGTTATGATATAAGGAAGGTTTGGTGGGTTAACCCAAACAAAATGATACTGCCCACAGACATGATTTCCTTTGAAAAACCCCAGTCCCCAGATATAAGTGTGCCAAAAGTGCTTTCCTGGCTATTGAATATTTATGAGATAATCAAGGTGTATTTGTAGAGACTTGATTGATTTCAGTTTTTAAACATGCATTTCTTTCCTATCATAGATACTCTTCTTATTGACTATCAGTTCACCTTTAGCCTGTCCCAGGAGGATGACCGCTATTACACAGCCATCAATTTTGTGGCTACACCTGATGAAGTAAGATTTTAAAGTCTCCTTACTTTGTTTTGAATTTGTGTGAGGTTTTTTTGGTCATTATGGCTAGAAGCACTGCCTTAGCAGTGGTCTCCAGAGTACAGCACACAGGATTATGTTTAGATAACATTTCTTTCATGTACCTCTAAACATAATCCTGTGTGCTCTACATTTTATCTCCTTCTCACCTAAAAAGCAAGATGGTTTTAACATTTACCATTATCTGATAAGACTGACATTGACTCTACACATACTTGGTTTGCCCATCAGCCCATTGCATCCTGGTACAGAAAAGGAGAAGAGACTATGAGGGAAACTCCTCATCAGAGGGGCAGATGGTAGAGCCCAGATTTACTCTCTCAAAGTAGACCAAAAGCTTAAAAAGTACTCATAAAGAAACTGTGGATTGAAATCAGTGCCAATTATACAAGGGAGGCAGCATAAGTTGTTAACCTCATTAGGAGGTAAAAACAGAAAAGGTTTAGTTGGGTCCTATAAGAAGTCAGCCAGAAATAATTGAAATTACTAAGACAACTATTTGAAACATGGGTTTATATCTTCTGTCATTAACGATGAACCCCATCCTGTCATAAGATATTTCCCAGTGGTAGAAGGGAGCCAACACAGCATGACATTTAAAAGTGAGGCATCTAGCCCCACTGGTGTGGCTCACTGGTTGACCATCCACCCATGCATCATGATGTTGCTAGTTTGATTACTGGCCAGGGCATATGCCCAGGTTGTGGGCCTGATCCCCAATGAGGGGCATACAGGAGGTGGCCAGTCGATGTTCTTTCTCACTGATGTCTCTGTCTCTCCCCCTCTCCCTTCCTCTCTCTCTAAAAATCAATAAAGAAAAATTATTTAAAAATAAAAAATAATAAAAATAACAGTGAAGCATCTAGAATATGAAGACCCACCTACAAAAGTTCTTCAATGAAGAATGAAGTCATTACCCACTCCAATACGTAATGAAATTGTTCTAAACTTGATGATAAATTATTCAGGAGCCTCCTTAGAAGTTTCTTATTTCTCATCAGTGTACTTTAAATGAAAATATTTTGTGGAAAAACTGTGTAGGCATATCATTTCAGAGGCTGTGTTAAGTGGAATTTTGAAAAGAGATTTTAGCATAAGGTTATAGCAAAAGGACCAAACATGAAATTTATTTACTACTTATAAGCAAGTGATTGAAGTGCTCAGTCTTTCAGGATGTAATTGATGTTGTTAATTTTATTTTAAATAAACATAGTAGACTATAGATAATGCTTCTTAGTGAGGTGGGGAGTAACTATGAAAATCTTTGGACCTCTCTGGAGTTCTTTGTTTATCTTATAACAGAATATTTAATAGAGGTATCTATTGTGTATATTCTGTCTTTTAAAAAAGCACTAGGATTCCAAATTTATTGATTCTTTCTGTGGAGGAAGTAATTGTTAGTAGTGTGCTGCCAAGAAATATTAAAATTAAACACTTGAGCTGTCTTTTCAAGAGGAAAGTGAGGTTATATCAATAAATGAGAAGGTAACTGCTTTGTGAGAGGAACTTCTCGTTTGGAGATTCCATTTTTATTTATTTTTATTTTTTTATTTTATTATTATTTTTTTTATCCTCACCCGAGGACATTTTTTGTTCAGGTAGAGTGGGAGGGAGAGAGAGGAAGAGAGAGAGAGAGAAAGAAACATCGATGTGAAAGGGACACATCGAGTGGCTGCCACCCGCATGACCGACCAGGGCCGGGGACAAACTGCAACCAAGGTACATGCCCTTAGCGGGAACCGAACCTGGGTCTCTCGGGACCGCAGGCTGATGCTCTAACTGCTGAGCCAAACCGGCCAGGGCAGAGAGATTCCATTTTTAAAACATTTCCATTGTTGTCTTGTTCTGTAAAAAACTATCAAAACAACACCCTTAGAAATCTTAATTTTCTACCCTGGCCAGTTTTGCTCAGTGGTTAGAGCGTCGGCCTGTGGTCCAGAGAGACCTGGGTTCGGTTCCTGCTAAGGGCATGTACCTCGGTTGCAGTTTGTCCCCAGCCCTGGTTGGGTCATGCGGGTGGCAACCACTTAATGTGTCCCTTTTACGTCAGTGTTTCTCTCTCTCTCTCGCCCTCCACTCTATCTGAACAAAATATCAAAAAATGTTCTCCGGTGAGGATAAAAAAATAATAATAATAATTTTCTAATGTGTTTTATGATCTTATGAAGAATTTCAGCAGGATTGGATCTGTTTGTAAAATATAAAAATACAACATCTGATTTATTTGCAAAAATATGTATTTGACACCAAGAAAGACTGATTTGCCAAATGTTAGTAAAAAGTAAAAATGAATATTAAAATTTACCCAGCATGGCCACCTTCTTCTAGTTGATGCAACACAATTCTCTGAGAGATATTTTCAGTCATTAAAACCAAGAATCAAAATAAATTAAACTAGCTTTTCAAATTGCTGCATCTCTAAGTGATAAACAAGGTTTTCAAAGCTAATAAAATACATTTAGTCATCTTTCTTTTAAATATTTTAGTGAGAAAAAATGTTATTCAAATCATGAATAAAATCAAGTATTTTTTCATTTAGTTTATTTCAGCTTTATATACTTTTTTAAAAAACCATTTCCATTTTGGAGAACTTTACACTGTATATAAACTTTGCATTGGGGCCCTTGATCAAGTGTTTTACTGTCCAGGCATTTGGAAAGAGCTGCCCAGAGATTCCTTAGGAGGCTGATTTCCCTAACATAGGTCACAGGATATAAGTCATTGTGCTCTGGTGAGGCTGTTTTTTAAAAAGATATATTTTTCATAGAGTTAGGCATTTGATAAACCATTAAATTATATATATTTCTGGTAGAGAAATCAAATTTATTTGGGGTGTATTGCATATATTGGTTAGACATCTTGCTAATTCTTTTATAAATGTCAGTCTCTCTTAAGACATTGTAAAATATCGACTTTGTAATTCAGAAAGGTAAGAATAGTAAAATTTCATTACTGCATTTTAAAATCTGGAAACTGTTCTAATTAATTTTCTAATTTATCTGTACCTCTCATCAGCAAAACAGGGATTTGGACATGTTCATCAATGCCTCTAAAAACTTCAACCTCAACATCACCTGGGCTGCCAGCTTCTCAGGTAAAAGCACATCTAGAGAAGACCTTTTGAGTGGAGATACTAAATTAAGAAGTATGATGTAGGAATTGAGAAAGGGGGTTCTGGAGAGAGACAGATGGATTTGAAACCCCGCTTATTAGCTGGAAGACCTTGAGCAAATGTCTAAATCCTTCTCTAGATTTTAGGGTTATTTGTCGTAAAGAGAATTGTTGCGTAGACTCAATTAGGTTCTGCATGCCAGTGCCTATCATGGTATAATGCTCAGCACAGGCTCACTACCCCCACCCCACTACCACCACTAATAGCATTGCTGCAGCTGCTGTTCTGGGACTGCCATCATCATCCCACCCAAGCTTCAGAAGTGAAAAAATGCAAGTGACTCATAGTTTCAAGAAATTGAAACATTTAAAATATGAGATTTTAGTAGGTACAGGGAAATGTACTTTGGGAATTAAATCAAACTCTAAGAGCACAGCTTTTACTATCTTGTTTATCTTACTATGAGTCACTAAAGAAGAGGTGCTGGGGCAGAAAATCTACTAAAAAAGTAAACAGTGGGCCTTACATAGTGGTTAAGAACATAGCTTGACAGGGTTTGAATTCTGCCTGTTATTTACTGTGCTATTGGGAAAATTACTTAAGCTTTCTGACCCAGTTTCCTCGTGTAAAAAATAGAGTGTTATGAGAATCAAATGAGATAATAAACAAACTCCTCTATGTAGTGCTTGAAACATGATAAATTCTCACTACATGTTTCATCAGTATTGTTACTATACAATATTGGTTTTGTGTTCTAGTCAAAACGTGATTAGACTGAAGCAAAATAAAATCATTACCTTTGCAGATCACTTTATCTTTATCATGTCTTGTAAGATTGTATAGAATTCAGAAAAGGTTCAGAAATTGCAGGGAGGAGAGACTTTTAAGAAAAGCTCTGAATTATTAGAGCATTTGTCTTGAGAAAGGCAACATCTCTGAGTATATGAGTGATGATTTGCAATGAGTGACTCAATGAGGACCTAACAGTCTGGGCTCCAGTCACAGAATTTAATTCAGACATGGGAAAAATCTAGTTCATGAGTCTTGATAGACACTAGAATTCCCAGCAGAGGGAGAATATCGAATGTTGAAGGGCTTTTGGGAATAAGATGCATTTGTACCAGATTAGGGGAACTAAATACAGTTGTAGCTGGTAGGAGAAGGGACTGAGTGACCCTTAGAGCTCTGTCCTCCCTGCTACTATTGAGACTTGAGGTCACAGTTAGGAAATGAGGGGTGAAGCAGTGTCCCCAGTAGGGAAGATGTGGAGCACTACCAAACAGGAGCACAGGGGAGATGCAGAGCAATCGAAGTATTGTGGACAGAGTGGATGCCTTTGTTTGTTAATAGGATTCTAGTGGTGTCTGTATTTTCACAGCCACATGGAGCCCATTTCAGTGGAGGGGAGTTGCAGGGATTCCTGGTAAAATCATTCTAGTCAAGGGCACGGGCTTGTGTATCAGCTTTCTTGCTGGCTGTGTGACCTGAACCAAGTTTCTTAGTTTCTCTGAACCCCTTAGTTTCCTGATCTGTAAAGGAGGATAAAAGAGTTACTGTGAGAATTAAATGAGATTGAGCTCTTTAAGTCTGTTCCTGGGACATAGTAAGTGTCTAATAAATGCTAACTATTATCCATATTATTAATGAGGATAGATTCTGTACCCCACTCAAAAAAAGGCTCTTCTGTTTTATTATTTTCTTTCTAATAGCTGGAACCCAGTCTGGAGAAGAGATGCCTGTTGTTTCGAAAACCAACATTAAGGAGTACAAAGATAGCTTCTCTAATGAGAAGTTTGATTTTCGCAACCACCCAAATATCACTTTTTTCGTTTATGTCAGTAATTTTACCTGGCCCATCAAAATTCAGGTAAGATGTGCTTTTTGGTCTCATCTGCAGACATGGTGAACTCTCTTTAGTGGAGACTAAATTTGCTAATTTGGAACTTGTGGTAAATGAGATGTACGGTATTGCTTTGCCTCTATAATATCTATGGCAAAGGAGTGCTGAGCATATGACTACCATAGAATATTGTAGTGGGAATGGTGTAAATCACTTATAAAGGAAAGTTAGCGCTTTTAAAAGCAAGTTGGCATGTAACAGACTTGATAATTGTAACTGTAATTTCTTCGTTGAGCACTTGCCATGTAAAAGTTTGTAGAGTTGCCTGGCCGGTGTGGCTGAGTGGTTGATCCCAAGGGATCACAGGTTCGATTTCCAGTCAGGGCACATGCCCAGGTTGTGGGCCAAATCCCCAGTGGGGAACATGTAAGAGGCAGCCAGTCGATGTTCTCTCTCATCTATATTTCTATCTCTCTCTCCCTCTTCCCTCCTCTCTCTCTCAAATTAATAAAGAAAAAAAAAGTTTGTAGAGCTACAAAATGAACTTCAATTCTGGAGTTAATAAGGTGGGTATAAAGGAAACAAACACACATACAACCAGTGAAAGCCAGAATGTGGAAAGTGCCACATGAAAAGACCCCAAAAATGCTATCAGAGTTTAAAGGAAGATGAGCTGGTGTGTAATGGGAGGCAGTATAAGGTCACATTAAAGAACCTGGTCTTTAAAGTCAAACAGACATGGGTTTGAGTCCTGGTTTGCTCCTGCACAATTTAGGTAGCCTCTCCACATCTCAGATTTTTTATACTTGTACCTGAAAGGATAAGTCGAAGGATTCATGTCACCTTCTACAGCCACTCCTCTGCTCATTTTCCCTGTTCCCAGTGGGATCTTAATCCAAGATCCATAGTCTAAGTTGTGCTTTTTATAATAATCTACAATTGTGTCCTTGAGGCCTTAATACTTTTGGCTTTTGCCCCCTTCATTTTGGTAAATGTGGAATGTAGGGATGGGTGGACTTTCAGGGACTGGTTCACCTTTAGCCATGGAGGCATGGATACTGGACTAGGGCTGTGGCTGTTTGCCAACTTTAAGAAGCATGGTCAACTGAAGCAAGTTGTCATAGATCAATTGGGATGGTTTGCAATCTAGTTCTGGTGATCGTGTGTTCATATCTCAGGGCTGTGACTAAAGAACAGTCTTTTCTTCTTGGCAGGTATGGTTCAGTGGTTGAGCATTGACCCATGCACCAAGAGGTCGCCAGTTCGATTTCTGGTCAGGGCAAATGCCCAGATTGTGGGCCTGATCCCCATTGGGGAGCATGCAGGAGATGACCAATCAATGTTCTCTCTCATCGATGTTTCTTCTATCTCTCCCTTCCTCCCTCTCTAAAATCAATAAAGAAAAAAATAAAAATATATAAATAAATAAAAGAATTACATGAACCTTGAGTACTTGATAGACCTCCTATAAAATTATTTGATTCTGGTGTTTTATATGTGGAGTTTTTTTTAACTGCTGATTTAACTTTAATAGTTATAGGATATTTTGGATTTTCTCTTTCTGTTTGAGTCACTGAAGATAATTTTTTATTTCTTATATTTTTCAAATGTATTAACACAAAGTTATTTACACTGTCTTCTTATCTAACCTTTGCAGCATCTGTGCTTAAGTGTACTGTATAATACTCTTTAAAAAAAAATGGTTAAATGGTAAATTTTGTCTTACATATATTTTACCCCAACAAAAAAATAGTTTTGAAAATCGCAACAAGATTTTTTTTGTAAATATAGCCATGTTTATTCTAAAATTTATATGAAAAGACAAAGATTCTAATATAGCTATAACAGTTTTGAAAAAGAGGAGTAAAGTGGGAAGAATCACTATGTACAGTGTTAAAGCTTACTGTTTAGCTAGAGAAATCAAAACATTGTGGTTATTGCTGGAGGATAGACACAGACCATACAATAGAATAGACATGAAACAGAATTAAGAAGCCTGAAATTGATCCACAAAAATATGTCCAACTGATTTTTGACAAAGGTGCAAAGACATTCAGTGGAGGAAGGATAGGATAGCCTTTTCAACAAGTAGTGCTGGAACAATTAGACACCCATAGGCCAAAAAAATGAACTTTGACCTAAACTTTACATCTTACATAAAAATTAACTTACCATGGATCACAAATTTAAATGTAAAACAAAGCTATAAAACTTTTAGGGAAAAAATAGGAGAAAATCTTCACATCTTAAGGCTAGGCAAAAGGTTTTTAGCCTTGATAACAAAAACATGACCCATAAAAAGAAAAATTGATAGATTGGACTACATCAAAACAAAAAGCTTTTCTTTTGTGAAAGACCCTGTTAAGGGGATGAATAGACAAACTACATACTGGGAGAAAATATTTGCAAACCATAATTCCAACAGAACACCTGCATCTGGAATATAAGAATAATTCTCACCCTGGCCAGTATGGCTCAGGTGGTTGGAACATTGTGCCATACACTGGAAGGTTGCAGGTCTGATTCCCAGTCAAGGCACACACTTAGGTTGCAGGTTGAACCCCTGGAAAGGGCACGTAAAATCAGTGAGCATATGTTCAGTGAGGATTTTTTAAAAGAAGAATTCTCAAAATTCAGCATTAAAAAACAAACAATTCATTTAGAAAGTGGAGAAAAGACGTGAAGAATCATTTTACCAAAGAGAGTATTTATATGTTAAATAACCATATGAAAAGATGTTTAACATCAAAAGCTATTAAATAAATGCAAAATAATATCACAATGAGCTATCACTATGCACCTATCAAAATGGCTAAAATGAAAAATAGTAATAACACCAAATGCTAGAGAGGTTGCAGAGAAATTGGATTATGTTTACATTGCTGGTGGGAAAGTGAGGTGGTACAGCCACTCTAGAAAACAGTTTGGTGTTTTCTTATAAACTAAACTTGCTCTTATTGTACAACCCAACAATTATATTTCTAGCATTTATCCCAGAGAAATGAAAATTGATGTTCACAGACACATGAAAACAAATGTTTATAGTGCCTGTACAGCAGTATTTAGCAGCTTCATTTATAATAGCCCCAACTGGAAACAAGCTAAGTTTTATTCATCAGGTGAATGGTTAAATAAATTATGCTTTGTATATATCATGGAATAATACTCAGCAAAAAAAGAAACAAACTGTGGCTCTGACTGGTTTAGCTCAGCGGTTAGAGTGTCGGCCCACAGACCAAAGAGTCATGGGTTCGATTCCCAGTCAAGGACACGTACCTGGGTTGCAGGTTTGATCCCTGGACCTGGTCAGGGACGTGCAGGAGGCCATCAATCAATGCATCTCTCTCACATCAATGTTTCTCCTTCCCTCCTCCCTTCTTTTCCTCCCTCTCTCCCTAGCTCCATTCCTTCCATTTCTATCTAAAAATCAATGGAAAAATATCCTTGGGTGAGGATTAACCCAAAAAAAACCTGTTGATACAAGTTGGATAAACCCCAAGGAAATTTTGCTGAGGGGGGAAAATTAGGAATTGGCATTCCGTGTGATTCTATTTCTATAACATTTGAAAATAAAAATTTTCTACCAAAAATAGGTATGATCTACTGAAGCTTCACCAGTCTCTGACTTCTGACCCTAGACCCTATTTTAAAAGAGGTCATCTGATCAGGTCAGACCCTCCCACACTCTAGGGGAGGGTGTACATACCAACATAGTGGGAATCTTGGTGTCCAACCAGGGGTTTAGGTTACTTGTCTGACTCCAGAGAGGTTGAGCTCTAGGCCCCTGTCAGTGCAATTTCAATTTGTAACATCATCTAACAGTATCAAATTATAGATCATATATATTTGTAAAATACTTGATTTTGAGCTCTAGTAAATATTATTTGTTGACTTGTTTTAAGTTGAAATCGTTTTCATAATGGCATACCTCGTGATACTCTGAATCTAACTGAACTTCAGACTTTGTTGCTTATAGCTGAGAAAATAATTAATATTTTTAAAAATCTTAGTGAAAATGTTGGCTTAATGCTGCTGACATTTTTCCCATTTGGAAAGAGGGCTCTGTGCACATAAACAGGCTTTTGTGCTGGAGATAGCCGTGCTGTTGCCAATGTGGAGTTCTAGTTTTTTTCTTCACTGTGCCCTGTTGCTCCACCCTCTGAAAGTCACTGAAATGGTTTAGAGCATTTCCTTCTAGAGGGACCTCTTCCTCACACTTACTTTTGAAAAGTACTAATTTTAAGTTGAAGAATCAAAGAGATGTCTATTTTCTGCCTGATTTTTTGGTGCTCTTTACCTGGGCTGGATCACTCACTTGAATGAGATCCCCTTATGAAAGCTGCATTCAGGAACACTTCTGAAAATAAACGATGGCATGCTCACTATTTAGTTTGCCAAGCTTTCCTTGAAAAAGCAGGTAAGTTCTATTGAAAATGTGTCTTTTTGCTCTTTGGTATTTGCAGACACTTTGACAAGACCTATAGCATCGCGTGTTCTGTCTCCACATGACGCTGGTTTTCTGCACTTGGGACTGTATCTGGATGTGCGCTGGGCGGAGGGCTGAGCTTGCTTCTTCCTAGGCAAATGCAGTCATGTTCCCAACAAAGGGAGCTATATGTATGTCTCTTTATTGCTCAGTTTTCCTCAGAGCCATCGCTTTTATGCATGTAGTTAGCTCTTAAACACATACATGCACACTTAGAGACTGTACAAATTCTGTAAAAATGTAGAGAATAGGGAATGTCTAAATGGCACAGTGTAGGCCATTCAGTTAAATTTCAGTATGGCTTTCAGTGCAGGCGAAATAACTTTTCTGTCTCATTTTTTAAAGCAAAATAACTGAGGAAATCTAATTCTTTACTCGGAAATTCGTGTAAACATTGGTGCTTTAAAAATGGTAATGCTAAACTCAAGTTCCTTCACTCTGAACTGATCCCAGGATTCTTTTCCATAATTAGGAACAGATCAAAACCTGTAACTGCTAACTGAGGGAATTTGAAACTAACTATAAAAGTCTTTGTAGATGA